TATATGCTTGCCTGTTTACCTGCCTTCACACCTACCTACCCACCTACCGACATATCTCTTTAAATAAATAAATCCCCAAACAGGACCCTGCGTATACCACTGTTCCATAAAACAACTTGAAATCTAAACCGTACAGTGCCTGATAGCATTGAATGACCAAACGGTTCAGGAAATCGCCAAGAATGTATTGGCTGTTTACGTGATTCTGTTTTCACTGCGAGCTATTCTGGTCGACACAGCGGGAGGGAGTGAGTACACATGTTATGACAGCCCCTCCAGACAGCGAATTACGCGCTCACGCTCCGTGAAATTGGTGGACCGCCGTTATGAGAAAATGATGTTTGGTGGACATTCATGATGACAAAAGGGTTGACATTTATTGTCTGACTTGACTCGAGTGCAGAGTAGACCTACTCCATATATATATATATATATATATATATATATATATATATATATATATATATATATATATATATATATATATATATATATATATATATATATATATATATATATATATATATATATATATATATATATCAAATACAGATTTAACACGAGAATAATTCATAAGCCTTATGTCCACACCCCAAAGCTATCTATAATTCAACGTCTGGTGTCTGTTTAATTACAGAAATCTATATCGTCTAACAACTTCTCTCTTTCCAATTCTACTGCATCCCCTCCCCCCCCCCCCCACACACACACACCCACAACTCCAATCCCAAGCATCGTCTGTGATTCTATAAATAATAACCCAATTATATTTTTTTTTATTCCGGTTCACAATTGTAACGTTTTTCCTTGATTTTCGTGTCGGAAAATGTAATACGCTCTCATATTTTCCCCTCTACATCATTGTCGATCGTTCAGTAAACATACACATAATTCCTAATTTATATTAAAATCTGACATTTAAATTTGTACCAATTTAATAGCGTCGATGTGCGCCTTTAGTTGGCACGCCCTCAGAGTTCAATAACAAAAGCTCTGGATTTAAGATTCTTATAAAAAGTTCCATACTTCAATAGCGACTAACCATGAACGTACGAATTCGCCATAGTTCAACTTGCAAAATTCAGTTCTTGGGGATGCAAACATATTTATTATGTGTATAGTATAGCGAATGTGAACAGAAATCGATGCTTAAATAAACAACAGGTGAAGAATTCTGAATATTTTAGAGGTGCATCTACAAATCTCCAAAGTTTATAGGCTATATCAACACAAATATTGTGGTTGAACTCACCCCGGTTTGTATATTAACACAAACATTGAGGTAGAAGTCACCTAAGTTTGTATATTAACACAAAAACAATGAGGTATAACTCACCTAAGTTTGTATATCAACACATAAGTTTGTATATCAACACACATAAAATATGGTAGAACTCACCAACGTTTGTATATCAACACACAAACATTGTTGTAGAACTCACAAAAACCAAAGTTTGTATATCAACACACAAGTTTGTATATCAACACACAAGTTTGTATATCAACACACAAGTTTGTATATCAACACACAAGTTTGTATATCAACACACAAGTTTGTATATCAACACACAGACACTGCACGGAAAAGTCAATTAGTGCTTGGGAAAAAAAGTTTAAATAAATTATCGACTAATTAGTCGTCTAGCGATTGTGTTTTCGTTTCCTAGCCGTAGGCATAAGAAGACGGCTAGACATTTTTTGGAACTTTTTTTTCCATTTGAGCTCTTTGGCAAGTAAAAAAAATAATGCGCTTAACATGGGCATTAGAGGCGAGGTAATTGTTGCACACGTTGATAATGAGGAAGGGCGCGGTAACAGTTGGTGGATGAAAGTAATGGGATATGGGTGACCCGTGTGACGACAGCACAAGTTTGTTGGGGGTCACGTGTGAGAGAGGCGTCTGTGTGATTGGTTGGAGGCTGTGTTGGATGGAGAAAATTGTGGTGTGTGTTTGGCGAGTGGGGTTATAAATGTTTTGGTGGATGAGGGTGGCTAAGTATGTATTGGTGGAGTAGCTGGGTTGGATATCGGTGGTAAAGAGGGGCTGGAATGTATATGGATGTGTGTGGATGTGTGTGGATAAATGGGTGTATGTGGACATATATGGATATGTCTGAATGTGTGTGAATGTGTGTGGATGTTTGTGGATGAATGTAGATGGATGTGGATGTGTGTGGATGTATGTGAATGTGTGTGGATGTGTGTGGATGTGTGTGGATGTGTGTGGATGTGTGTGGATGAATGTAGATGGATGTGGATGTGTGTGGATGTATGTTCGTGCCCAAGACACATGGTGCGGATGAAGGAGAGTTCATCTGTTTAAGGGACCTCGGCATATGAAGAGATGGTGTGGTCGGCACTGTTCCCAGCCGACTTGGCTTTCCTTACCGTAAGTTAGGTACCCATCAGAGTTGGGTGGACTCAGGACTACTGTCTTGAATCCGGATTCCAACCCCGAGACTTCCTGGTTTGCAGCCTAGCGCTCTACCGTTAGACCACACCGTTTTAGAGAATGGTGTTTAGAAATGCTGACTATTGAAATTACATTTAAACCTGAAGTGGGTTAGATGGTGTCAATATCCGCATGTTATCGACTTTTTAAATATTTAAATTGGCTATTCTACAATATGTGTGATGACACACTTTTATAATAACCTTAGTGCACACATGTAATCACGAGACTGTAAGACACCAATTAAGAAATCAATCTTATCTACCGCTCTATAATTAACTCGCAAGACGTAGGGGAACACTGTGTAAACACAGACAGAAGCCGAGGTAATGACAGCTTCTTACGTGTAGCTGGCTTACAACAGGGTTGTTTTATTCACTACAAGAACATAATGTTTTAACGATAATCTATGGGTTAAAGTAGGCTTACAACAGGGTTGTCTTATTCACATGATCGTTGTTGGGTCAAATTAGGCTCACAATAGGGCTGTCGCATATACTAGAACAGGGGTCTCCAAACTACGGCCCGCGGGCCGGATGCGGCCCGCGAGGTCCTCTTATCCGGCCCGCGGCGATCTTTTTGTCCACGGAAAAAACGTTTGTTGGTGATAGCTGAGGAACTTTGCCAAGAAAAAATCAGACATTTTTGGAATTAACTAGCCCCTAAACTGAAATTTGATAGTTAATGCGGCCCTCGGACTGCAAAGTTTGGAGACCCCTGTACTAGAAGAACATAATGTTTGAACGATAATCTTTGGATCAAAGTAGGCTTACAACAGGGCTGTCTTAATCACTAGAAGAACATTATGCTTGAACGGTAATCGCTGGGTCAAGGTAGGATTACAACAGTTATGTCTCAGTCACGGGAGAAAGAGAATGTTGGAACGATAATCGTTAATGTCAAATCAGGCTTACTAAAGGTCTGCATTGTTCACCACTGAAAAAAATATGTTCGAACGATAATCCTTGAGTCTTGTGTGCAGAAATTGAAGTTTTAATATTTCACTCTAACAATTTTTTTTTTGTAACACAAAACTACAAACTATCTGTAATTTCACAGCAGCACATTTGTTTAACGCAAACACATTTTCAATTGAAAGATATTCTAGGCCTATTAATGCGTATGTTTTTATGGGAATTCGCACACGTATTTTATGTGTATTTTGATTGTAGCCTATATCATTACCACCATCGTTTTATGATAGTACCCAAGAACATTAGGGGTAGATGAAGTAGAGCTCACCTGTTTCAATTAACGCTGCATATAAAGGGATGGTGGTGTCAAAACTACTATTCCCAGTCGACTTAGTTCAACTTAACGTGAGTCGGGCACTTAAAAAAGCTGGGTACACTCAGGGAAATCTAACTCAGCACCGGGATTCGAAATCACGACGTCCGAGTTAGTAGGCATACGCTCTATCCCCCAACCATGCCGTCCATAATGAGGCATACAGTTCTTTAATTGCTTTCTGTCATGTATTCTTTGTTTACACGTGTTGGTTATCTTTTAGTTATTTTGTTACAGTGTTTGTTGTTGGTCTCCTGTTGCCTGCAAGATAAGCACTCAGTACATGCACTGTGATAGGTATAATTTTAAAAAATCATTGCCTGAACCTAGCATAATCAGGTCAATTAACTTACAAAGTAATTAAAGACTTGACACGCAACCTTCTCCACAGGTGAACTAACTTGAGATAAGCAACAAGCCGTTCATTAACTTTAATTGTTAAAAAACAATTATTATAATTTTTTTTTTACTTGCACTGCACTTCGTATTTGTTTCGAAGGTTAAATGTCTATTGATAAATAGAAGGGTAAATATCTATTGATAAATAGAAGGTTAAATATCTATTGATAAATAGAAGGTTAAATATCTATTGATAAATAGAAGGTTAAATATCTATTGATAAATAGAAGGTTAAATATCTATTGATAAATAGAAGGTTAAATATCTATTGATAAATAGAAGGTTAAATATCTATTGATAAATAGAAGGTTAAATATCTATTGATAAATAGAAGGTTAAATATCTATTGATAAATAGAAGGTTAAATATCTATTGATAAATAGAAGGTTAAATATCTATTGATAAATAGAAGGTTAAATGTCTATTGATAAATAGAAGGTGAAATATATAGTGATAAATAGAAGGTTAAATGTCTATTGCGAAATACAAGGTTAAATATATATTGATAAATAGAAGGTTAAATGTCTATTGATAAATAGAAGGTTAAACGTCTATTGAGAAATAGAAGGTTAAATGTCTATTGAGAAATACAAGGTTAAATATATATATTGATAAATAGGTTTATAAATAACTATTTATATAAATTGAAAAAAATATATATTGATAAATAGAACTATATTTTAAAATAGTTATACTAATTAGATTAAAATATCAGTTGATTATTTACTTGCAATATAATTTGTCATTATGCTTTTCAAAACAGACTCTTTTTTACAACTGACTTCCTTTTATAATTGAAAAAAAAAACCATAATAATGATTGTTATCATTTGACTTTTTACTTTTTCTCCACGTGCTTACAGAATGGGCCAAGAAATGGCCCTGATCCAGCTCTAGTGGTGGGCCACCATGTCGAGCGAGCCAACCATCGACCTGGACGAATGGGACAAGTTGATGATCGTGTTCGCTGCGGCCCTCTTCCTCATGCTCGTGCTGGTCCTGCTCGTCTGCTCGCTCAACCCCCTGTGCTGGCTCCACAGGTTCTGTCCCTGCAAGTATGAGGACAGTGGTAGGTAGCACTCAGAGCTGGTCTCGCTGTGTGTCTCATGGGGCGTTTAATGGTTCATTTCATAGTTCGTCTCATGGTTCATTTCATTCATGTCATTCTTCGTCTCATCGTTTGTCTTAAAGTTAATTTCGTTTGCCTCATTGTTCGTCTAAAAGTTCGTCTAATTCGTTTCCACGTTCGTCTAATAGTTCGTTTTAACGTTCTTCTAATAGTAAGTTTCATTTGCCTAATCGTTCGTCTAATTGTTCGTCTAATTCGTTTTATCGTTCGTCTTATATTTTGCTTCATCCTTCCTCTAATAGGTAATTTCAACGTTCGTATCCAATTTCGTATAATTCTACTTCTCATCGTTTTTCTTCATGCTCGTCTACTCATTCGTGTTATTGTTCGTATAATCTGTCATTGAATTGTTCGTATAATCATTCTTCTTATAATTCGTAATAATTTTCATTCAATATTTCGTCTCATCGTTCGTCTACTCATCATCGTCCCAACGTTCGTCTTGCAGTTTGTATCATCGTTAGTCTTATCGTTCATATCACTGGTCGAATGATACTACGTCTCAACATCCCTCTACTGCTTTGTATAAATTATCTAAAAGCTCGTAAAACATTTGGAATCGTCTTATGTATAACAGCTCGTACTATCGATAGACTAAGGTTGATTGTTCGTGTCATTATAATTCGTAGTATATTTATTTAATACTTTGTATCATTATTCGTCAAAGTGTTCGTATCTTCATCTAATAGCTAATCGTACATTTCGTCTAATCATTCATCTACCAATCCTTTAGTTAAATAGTTCGTCTGAGTCTTAGTCGTTTTATTCTTCCCACAATTCGTCTCATTTTTCGTTCGATAATTTGTTCAACACAGTATTTTATATTTCTACAACTGTCTGAAAAAATGGAAAATTTAAAAATATTTCAAGTCCATAATCGCTGGAAACTAAAATTAACATAGTTATCAAATGTTAGTATGTAATGTGATAACATCATTTCTAAAGAGCTTAAGTAATAGTCATAATTATCAATGTAGCGCCTGCCCACCCTATTCAACGTTAGTCATGCACTATTTGGTAACACCCGCCCCAAACATAGCCCCATTCAACAAAGCCGCGCCAATCCAGTTTACTGAATTATAGTCTACTAGACGTAGGAGTTAATCAGACGTCACGCAGGCGACCAGCATCGTGCTTAGACTAATTACCGCAATATGGTGCTGTGCCTCCCTCCCCCCACCCGCATCACGTGACTTCCCACGCCGTATGTGAGCACCATTTACACGTCATTATTTCATACCATAGTGGCTGACTTTTCGTCTCGTGGCGTGCCCGTGTTCTATTTATAGTAATGCAGTCACGTGTTAAAGACACTTGTTTTTATTTTATGGTTTTGTTGTGAGCGAACAGATGTTATACAATTAGCATAGCCGGGATGGTCCTGATGTCTATAATTTAGATAAAGTCACGTGGGTTGAGTATATGCTCCTAAACAATAGTCGAACATAAAGCTTAAACACTTCAATGTGTATACTGTTATTTAAAAGCGTAACTAGTAATTGTAATGAGAAACTAAAATTAATAACAGCTAGGCATATTTGGTCACGTAACTATGTTTGGAGCTGGATTCTGTCAAATGGTTTGTTTATCATATTTAAAAAAAAATTAAAGTCATTTTTTATTTAATCGGCGTGAGTCTTTTTGTCGAAAAATGGTATATTATTATGTTATTCATATATATATATATATATATATATATATATATATATATATATATATATATATATATATATATACACTTGTATATACTTATATATACATATATTTATATATATTATATATTTATATCTATATATATATAATTCTCTTCTGGGAGACGCTGGTGAGCTGTGGTTCACTCTAAATGTTTACAAACAGAGCCGGGTTTAGTGACGACTATTAGGGGCAGATAATTTAGTTTGAAACGATTTTAAACGTAGGGGGAAGGGGGGGGGTAACTAAGTGGAGTTTACTTTAACGGAGGGGCGGGGGGAAGGAAGGGGGGGGGGTTATCGTCCTTAACGAGCTACTTATAGTGTTTTAAAGAAATATTTTCGGTGGCATCGTTGGTAGTGTCGAATTCACAAATTATGAATAACTCAAAAGTAGAAAATAAAACAACTAAATAGCGGCGTATGATATGTCGCGGGTCGGCTCGTATATTATATAATTATATGTATATTATTATATATTAATAGACACGTTTATTTGTGAGTGACTTGGGAACATTCTAGCCTCTATGTCACACTTCAAACATTTTGGAAGCGGATTAAGCCACCACCACCACCTTGCTACCCTGGACCATCTTTGAACATGATTGACATGATTAGCAGCATTTACAATTGTTTTTTTCTCTTTTTCCCAGAGAAAACCCCACTACGACCAGTGTATGGGGCGGTGTATGACCCTGGGGTCGCCCCAGGCAGGAATGGATACGGGATCAAAGGTCAACAGGGGCCGCTGTGGCATCCCATGGTGCCTCTGCGCGAGTCTGAGCTCTCTGATTGGTCAGATATTAGCATGCCAGAGATCATTGAGATGAAACAGGTACACGTTTTTGAGGTTTGGCTAAAGTTTAAATTGCGTGGTTAAAGTTTGGCATTGGTTTAGGTTATGATTTGTGGTAGTTAGAGTTTGGTTTAGGTTTAAGTTATGTTTTGTATTTTTAGGGTTTGGTTTAGGTGTAAGTTACGGAAAGTGGTTAGTTTGGCTTAGGCATAAATTACGTTTTGTGGTTACATTTTGGCGTTGCTTTAGGTTACGGTTTATGGTAGTTAGAATGTTGCTAAAGTTTAAGCTAAGTTTGTGGTTGTTTGGGCTTAAGTTACCTTTTCTAGTTAGAGTTTTGTTTAGGTTTAAGTTACGTTTTGTGATTAGTGTTTGGCTTAGGCTTGAGTCTCATTTTGTGGTATTAGGATTTGGTTTAGGTTTAAGTTACGGAATGTGGTCAGAGTTTGGTTAGGTTTAAGCACCGTTTCGTGTTTAGAGTTTGACTTGGGCTAAAGTTACGTTTTGTGATTGGCATTTTGGTTTAAGTCTATGTTTACATAACATCACAGAAATAAGAGCAGTAAAAATGTAGTGTAGATGAGACGTTGAGAGAAACGCTTTGACAGAATGACAAAAATAATTACTCGTACGTGTGAGAGATATGTAGCGATAGTGTGACACAAAAGTGACATGCATGTGTGAGGACTGTGTGACATACGTGTTACATGCAAGTGTGACGACTGTGTGACACACGTGTTACATGCAAGTGTGACGACTGTGTGACACACGTGTTACATGCAAGTGTGACGACTGTGTGACACACGTGTTACATGCAAGTGTGACGACTGTGAGACACACGTGTTACATGCAAGTGTGACGACTGTGTGACACACGTGTTACATGCAAGTGTGACGACTGTGTGACACACGTGTTACATGCAAGTGTGACGACTGTGTGACACACGTGTTACATGCAAGTGTGACGACTGTGAGACACACGTGTTACATGCAAGTGTGACGACTGTGTGACACACGTGTTACATGCAAGTGTGACGACTGTGTGACACACGTGTTACATGCAAGTGTGACGACTGTGTGACACACGTGTTACATGCAAGTGTGACGACTGTGTGACACACGTGTTACATGCAAGTGTGACGACTGTGTGACACACGTGTTACATGCAAGTGTGACGACTGTGTGACACACGTGTTACATGCAAGTGTAACGACTGTGAGACACACGTGTTACATGCAAGTGTGACGACTGTGTGACACACGTGTTACATGCAAGTGTGACGACTGTGTGACACACGTGTTACATGCAAGTGTGACGACTGTGAGACACACGTGTTACATGCAAGTGTGAGGACTGTGTGACATACGTGTTACATGCAAGTGTGACGACGGTGTGACACACGTGTTACATGCAAGTGTGACGACTGTGTGACACACGTGTTACATGCAAGTGTCACGACTGTGTGACACACGTGTTACATGCAAGTGTGAGGACTGTGTCTCACGTTATACGTGCAAGTGTGACGACTGTGTGACACACGTGTTAAATGCAAGTGTGACGACTACGTGAAACACGTGTTACATGCAAGTGTGACGACTGTGTGAAAAACGTGTTACATGCAAGTGTGACGACTGTGTGACACACGTGTTACATGCAAGTGTGACGACTGTGTGACACACGTGTAACATGCGAGTGTGACGACTGTGTGACACACGTGTTACATGCAAGTGTGACGACTGTGTGACACACGTGTTACATGCAAGTGTGACGACTGTGTGACACACGTGTTACATGCAAGTGTGACGACTGTGTCTCACGTTTTACATGCAAGTGTGACGACTGTGTGACACACGTGTTACATGCAAGTGTGACGACTACGTGAAACACGTGTTACATGCAAGTGTGACGACTGTGTGAAAAACGTGTTACATGCAAGTGTGACGACTGTGTGACACACGTGTAACATGCAAGTGTGACGACTGTGTCTCACGTTTTACATGCAAGTGTCACGACTGTGTGACACACGTGTTACATGCAAGTGTGACGACTGTGTGACACACATGTTACATGCAAGTGTGACGACTGTGACACACGTGTTACATGCACGTGTGACGACTGTGTGACACACGTGTTACATGCAAGTGTGACGACTGTGTGACACACGTGTTACATGCACGTGTGACGACTGTGTGACACACGTGTTACATGCAAGTGTGACGACTGTGAGACACACGTGTTACATGCAAGTGTGACGACTGTGTGACACACGTGTTACATGCAAGTGTGACGACTGTGTGTCTCACGTTTTACGTGCAAGTGTGACGACTGTGTGACACACGTGTTAAATGCAAGTGTGACGACTACGTGAAACACGTGTTACATGCAAGTGTGACGACTGTGTGAAAAACGTGTTACATGCAAGTGTGACGACTGTGTGACACACGTGTTACATGCAAGTGTGACGACTGTGAGACACACGTGTTACATGCAAGTGTGAGGACTGTGTGACACACGTGTTACATGCAAGTGTGACGACTGTGTGACACACGTGTTACATGCAAGTGTGACGACTGTGTGACACACGTGTTACATGCAAGTGTGACGACTGTGTGACACACGTGTTACATGCAAGTGTGAGGACTGTGTCTCACGTTATACGTGCAAGTGTGACGACTGTGTGACACACGTGTTAAATGCAAGTGTGACGACTGTGTGACACACGTGTTACATGCAAGTGTGACAACTGTGTGACACACATGTTACATGCAAGTGTGACGACTGTGAGACACACGTGTTACATGCAAGTGTGACGACTGTGTGACACACGTGTTACATGCAAGTGTGACGACTGTGTGTCTCTCGTTTTACGTGCAAGTGTGACGACTGTGTGACACACGTGTTAAATGCAAGTGTGACGACTACGTGAAACACGTGTTACATGCAAGTGTGACGACTGTGTGAAAAACGTGTTACATGCAAGTGTGACGACTGTGTGACACACGTGTTACATGCAAGTGTGACGACTGTGTGACACACGTGTAACATGCAAGTGTGACGACTGTGTGACACACGTGTTACATGCAAGTGTGACGACTGTGTGACACACGTGTTACATGCAAGTGTGACGACTGTGTGACACACGTGTTACATGCAAGTGTGACGACTGTGTCTCACGTTTTACATGCAAGTGTGACGACTGTGTGACACACGTGTTACATGCAAGTGTGACGACTACGTGAAACACGTGTTACATGCAAGTGTGACGACTGTGTGAAAAACGTGTTACATGCAAGTGTGACGACTGTGTGACACACGTGTAACATGCAAGTGTGACGACTGTGTCTCACGTTTTACATGCAAGTGTCACGACTGTGTGACACACGTGTTACATGCAAGTGTGACGACTGTGTGACACACGTGTTACATGCAAGTGTGACGACTGTGACACACGTGTTACATGCACGTGTGACGACTGTGTGACACACGTGTTACATGCAAGTGTGACGACTGTGTGACACACGTGTTACATGCACGTGTGACGACTGTGTGACACACGTGTTACATGCAAGTGCGACGACTGTGTGACACACGTGTTACATGCAAGTGTGACGACTGTGTGACACACGTGTTACATGCAAGTGTGACGACTGTGTGACACACGTGTTACATGCAAGTGTGACGACTGTGTGACACACGTGTTACATGCAAGTGTGACGACTGTGAGACACATGTGTTACATGCAAGTGTGACGACTGTGTGACACACGTGTTACATGCAAGTGTGACGACTGTGTGACACACGTGTTACATGCAAGTGTGACGACTGTGTGACACACGTGTTACATGCAAGGGTGACGACTGTGTGACACACGTGTTACATGCAAGTGTGACGACTGTGTGACACACGTGTTACATGCAAGTGTGACGACTGTGTGACACACGTGTTACATGCAAGTGTGACGACTGTGTGACACACGTGTTACATGCAAGTGTGACGACTGTGTGACACACGTGTTACATGCAAGTGTGACGACTGTGTGACACACGTGTTACATGCACGTGTGACGACTGTGTAACACACGTGTTACATGCAAGTGTGACGACTGTGTGACACACGTGTTAGATGCAAGTGTGACGACTGTGTGACACACGTGTTACATGCAAGTGTGACGACTGTGTGTGACATACGTGTTACACGTCAGAAGGACACGAAAACAGTGAGACGTGAGTGTGACAATGGTGTGACACATTTACACCTGCGAGTAATACTCGTGTGACAACAGCGTGACACTTTAACACTGTGACACCAGTGTGATATAAAGTGTGACACGTTTGTGACATGGCTGCGACCTGTGGCTATTTAAGCCACAGTATGGACCCTAGTGTTGTGATCGGGTCTGGACATTAACCCACCATTTCCCCCCCCCCCCTCCCCGGTACACTAAAATTGTTAAAGCGCCTTACCAAGAGATCCACTCCTATATATTTCCTCTTAATATATCGGACTATGACAGACCATTACTAGGGGAAATAACACAATAATAGTTAACTACATCTAGCGATTGAAAGTAGTTGTCTCGGTTGATGATGAATGATCTTCGGATATTTGGTTGTGACCCCTGCGTGAAGTTAGGGTTTAGGTAAATTAAATTAGATTTCAACATTTAAAGTGCAACTGGGACAACAATGTGAGTAATTGTGTTGTTTTTTTTAAAAACAGTTTCATAATTATCAAAGACAATAACGACATACCAGAAATACAAACGTTTTTTTTTTAATTTTTTATAATTTATTAATTATCAAATGAGTTTACGATATTTATATAATTAATTAATAATATCATAGAGGCATCACGTGAATTTAGGATTAAGGCCAAGGTTAGGAGAAAGGTACCAAAACGCACAATTATCATCTTTTCTCGTTTGTCCACGACATGGGACAGATGAAGTAGAATTCATTTTTTCATGACATCGGCATACAAGAGACCAATGTGGTCAGCACTATGCCCAGCAGAGTTTGTTTCCCTAACGTGAGTTTAGTACCCATCAGAGCTAGGTGGCCACAGGGACGTCATATACCCTATCACCCACGAAAGCATCAAAGTCTTTAACTGGGCACTCCCCAGGAGAACAACAACCGCCAGAGAAAGTCCTCCAGGACCAGCGACTACAGCAGCAGCGCCAGCGCCGTGGTGTCCCCTGTCCAGGCAGAGAGTCGACTGGCGTACGGCGTCAACTTCGACAAGATGCAGGGCGTCTTGTATGTCCGCGTTATACAGCTCGGCAACTTCAGGGTCATCGAACCGGAGGGTGCTACCATGCCGTACGTCAAGGTTCGAGTCTACCGGGCACCAAAGCAGTTCTTTACATTTAAGGCAAAGTAAGTGAAGTTGATTATAATATGGGAGTTTAAAATGCAAAAGGTATTATATTGATTAGTATTATCAGTACTTAAAGTAAACTAAATAATCCTCTTTTAAACCTAGCAAACCATTGTACAGATGAAGTAGAGTTTGTGTTTCTTGACCTCTGCATATAAAGGGAAGTTGTGGTCAGCACTTTGCCCAGCCGCCTTTATTTTCCCTATCATGAGTTAGCTACCCGTTAGAGCTAGGTGGGTTCAGTGGCGTTCTACTGACTTGGATCCGGATTCGAACTCGATACATTCGATTAAGCAGCCTTACACTCTACCGTTTTGGTAACGCCGTCCAATCATATCAGTATTTATATCTAATACATGATACAAGGTTCGTAAATTTCTATAAAATGTTTTTTTTTTTGTTCAAAAACCGATGCTGTTTATTTTGTCATGATTAGCTTAATTTTAAGCTTATGATCTTTACACAAACGAATTTCTTATCTTGAAACCATGTACCAGTTGCACCCAAAATGGGTGCAAATTTAAAGTTTGAGGGGGGGGGGGTACAAGTTGAAAAATTGCTCCCCAGAGGGGCGCCAAATTGAAAGTTTGTCGCCGGGAAGGGTCGCTACGCCTCTGACCAGTTGTTCAATTGAGATGATTCAAATAGCACACATAATTAATAAAATATGACACTTTATTTCATGAGAAACTGAAAATTGACAGTAAAACATATTGTTAGCAGGACATTACAGCTGCTCCAAATCAGTTTAGAAAGCATTTAATATACCAGTAGAACAATTAAAAGGGTACGGCTAAACATACATACCTTATTTAAATTTACTTCCCATCCTTGAGCAGGCCTAAGTAGTTTCCCCTGATCAATGTCGAAAGCCTGTCAAAATACCCTCGGTAAGATTTATGGTTAAAGATTATACATGTATTAAAACAAACGTAATATTGAGAGCAGACCTAAGGAGCTTCCCTGATAGTCTTGAGATCTGTCAAAATACCCTTGGTAAGATTAACGCCTAAAGATAACACATGTATTTCAACAAACTTCCAATTGCGAGCAAGCCTAAGGAGCTGTCCCTAAACAGTCTTGAAAGTTGTCCAAAACACCATCGATAAGATTAACGCCTAAAGATAAAACTTGTATTACAACAAACTTCCTATTGTGAACAGGCCCAAAGAGCTGCCCCTCAGCAGTCTAGAGAGCGAGGTACAGACGAGGATCTTGAGACGAACAGACAACCCGTTGTTCAATGAGACATTCAAGTTCCCTATAATGGACCAGGACATTTCACATTACGTGCTGAGGTTCTTAGTCTGTGATCTGGATCAGTTCTCTAGGCACGTCATTGTAGGTGAGTTGTGGGTGTGGGTGTATCATGGAAGCGGGTGAGCAGTGGGTGCAAGTTTATTGCTAGTGTAGGTGGGTTGTAGTGTAGGTGTATAATTGGCTTATGTCAGTAGTGGATGGCGTGGTTGATGGGAAGAGCATTCAGTTCTGGGTCTGGATTGCGGGCTGCTGGACATCTTTGAGTACAACCAGCTCTGATGAGTGCCTGACTAACGATGGGGAAAGTAGGGACGGCTGGGAATTGTGTTGACCACACGATTCCTTCATATGCCGTGGTCAAGAAAAAAATGAACTCAACTTCAAGTGACCTATGCATCTTTTGGTTTGAAAGGAAAACTTTACTTGTGCTTATTTTTTTTTGTTTCTAGAGAGCGTGGGTGTGTAGTGGGCTTTGGTGTGTAGTAGGCGTGTATGTAGTAGGTGTGTGTGTTAAGTGGGCGTGGGTGTGTAGTAGGCGTGGGTGTGTAGTAGGCGTGGGTGTTAAGTGGGCGTGGGTGTGTAGTAGGCGTGGGTGTGTAGTAGGTGTGTGTGTGTAGTAGGCGTGGGTGTGTAGTAGGCGTGGGTGTTAAGTGGGCATGGGTGTGTAGTAGGCGTGGGTGTTAAGTGGGCGTGGGTGTGTAGTAGGCGTGGGTGTGTAGTAGGTGTGTGTGTGTAGTAGGCGTGGGTGTGTAGTAGGCGTGGGTGTTAAGTGGGCGTGAGTGTGTAGTAGGCGTGGGTGTTAAGTGGGCGTGGGTGTGTAGTAGGTGTGGGTGTGTAGTAGGTGTGTGTGTTAAGTGGGCGTGGGTGTGTAGTAGGTGTGGGTGTTAAGTGGGCGTGGGTGTGTAGTAGGCGTGGGTGTGTAGTAGGTGTGTGTGTGTAGTAGGCGTGGGTGTGTAGTAGGCGTGGGTGTTAAGTGGGCGTGGGTGTGTAGTAGGCGTGGGTGTTAAGTGGGCGTGGGTGTGTAGTAGGCGTGGGTGTGTAGTAGGTGTGTGTGTGTTAAATGGGCGTGGGTGTGTAGTAGGCGTGGGTGTGTAGTAGGCGTGGGTGTCATGTGGGCGTGTAGTAGGTGTGGGCGTGTAGTAGGTGTGTGTGTTAAGGGGGCGTGGGTGTGTAGTAGGCGTGGGTGTGTAGTAGGCGTGGGTGTCATGTGGGCGTGTAGTAGGTGTGGGCGTGTAGTATGTGTGTGTGTTAAATGGGCGTGTAGTAGGTGTGGGTGTGTAGTAGGCGTGGGTGTTAAGTGGGCGTGGGTGTGTAGTAGGCGCGGGTGTGTAGTAGGCGTGGGTGTTAAGTGGGCGTGGGTGTGTAGTAGGCGTGGGTGTCATGTGGGCGTGTAGTAGGTGTGGGCGTGTAGTATGTGTGTGTGTTAAGTGGGCGTGTAGTAGGTGTGGGTGTGTAGTAGGCGTGGGTGTTAAGTGGGCGTGGGTGTTAAGTGGGCGTGGGTGTGTAGTAGGCGTGGGTGTGTAGTAGGCGTGGGTGTCATGTGGGCGTGTAGTAGGTGTGGGCGTGTAGTAGGTGTGTGTTAAGTGGGCGTGGGTGTGTAGTAGGCGTGGGTGTGAAGTAGGCGTAGGGGTGTAGTGGGTATCTAGAAGGCTCAGTTGTATTGTTGGTGTATGCGAGTTGTGGGGTAATAGGGCTGGTAAGTAGGTCACCAACCAGTGCTATGGTTCAATAAAACTTGCATGAGCCGTAGAACTGGTTGGTGAACTTCTTACCAGCACTATAGGTACAGATGTGTTGCTGTTTGTACGTGGACGATAGTGCAGATGCACGATGAGTGCAGATGTGTTATGGGCAGTTGTGTGTAGGTAGGTAGTTGGCGCTAAGTGTGTAATGAGAGCAGATGAGTAGACAGCGTGTTTTAATAGTTGAGAAATAGCCATCAACAGCATACAGTCTACAGATAGTAAAGGATAGTAAACTCGTGTCATATTACGAGAAGTAGCCTTACTTGACAGTTAAAGTAAATAATCTGGGAGCTATCTCATTTAAATCAGTCACAATGAACAGCTATGTTATTGCTAAGTAATTATTCAATGCTTTGTACATATTGTAAAGTAGCATATTGTAAAATGATAAATTAATATAGTATTACGAGATTCCGAGAAGTAACCTAACTTGAAATGTAAAGTGAATAATATGGGAGATAACTCTTTAAATCATCAACATCTAAAAAACTAGGTTATTTCTCAATGCTTCTGACCAAGCTTGTAAATAACATTATAAACTTAAATTCAAATTAATAAACATTTTCTAATTTTTCTAAACTTTTATTCTACTTCTCTTTTTTAACAAGGTGAGACAGTTCGTGACCTCGCTAAAGAGGAGATACCTGTAGGGGAGGAAGTTTTATTCAATGATCTTCTGTTGGTTCCACAAGAGGTAGACACTAATGGAATGTTTACTTGCATTTTCAAATTCAGTAGAACATAACTGAGTCCACTCAGCTCTGATGTGTACCTAACTATTGTTAGGGAAAGCAAAGACGACTGGGCATAGTACTGGTCACATTATCCCTTCATATACCGAGGTCCCTGAAACAGATGGACTCTACTTCATCTGCCCCATGAGCCTTGGCACAAAAGGGAAAAGATGATGACATTGTAACACTACTCTCATTTCGGTTCAATTAAGCATCACTTTTTCTGATAATACATAATCCTTTTGCACAATAATAAGCCAACCTAAATAACAGTTAGATTTTATTTTTAATTTAAAGTGTCTTTTATTTATATAGTAATATATGGAATAGCTTAGTTTTTTTTAAAAAAAACCTAAGTAGATTGTGATGGAACATGTTTTTCTCCCCAGGAAAATCTGGGAGAGATCCATGTGGCTCTGATGTACCTGCCAACTGCCGAGAAACTCAGCGTCATGATACTCAACGCTAAAAATCTTCGAGTGGTTGATGGCGTAAAAAATCATATGGGTAGGAATTCTATTTCAATACAGTAAATTTGATAATTATCAAATAGGATCAGCGGGATTGTTATGATAATCTGCCACAGAGATTTGGATTAGCAGGATTAGAATAATACCTTGTTAAAAAGTTTGCATTAAAATGTTATTGAGTAATGTCTATTGCTTAAGATTTTACCACAAAGGATAGCTCATAAATATTTTTGATTTTGAGAGTAATATAAATTATTATAAAATCACTGAACTGATCCCATATATTCTATATATATATATATATATATATATATATATATATATATATATATATATATATATATATATATATATATATATATATTCCTAAATTTCAAAATTTGTCTACATTTAGTATTTTTTTAAAATAAAATATGCAACTAACTTTGTAAGACATTTTTGTTTACAGAACTCTACATTAAAGTCACACTTATGTTTGATGGGCGGCCACTTAAGAAAAGTAAAACAACTGGCAAACTGCATGACATGAACCCTGTGTTTAATGAAACTTTTGTCTTTGATGTTCCTGCCTACCAGCTGGATAAGATCTACTTCAGTATTGCTGTTATAGGAGTGGACAAGGTAAGTCGGTTCATGTAGATCATATAGGACTTGGTAAAGCAGGTTAGTGCAAATAGTTCACATACAAGTGGATCAGGTAAGTCAGTGCAACTAGTTCGTAGAGTCGTGGACATTTTGAGTTGTTGCAACCTGTACCTAAAGAAGGCAAGGAAGAGCAGTGCAGCAAGTTCATATTACTCTGCAACGATAAAACAGCATACAATGTTTCAATAGAACATGTCAGGAGTATAGTTGTATAATTATTAAATTAACAGCCAAACACACTAAACTTTTACAATAAGTTCAAAAAAAAAAATCTCGTTTACATAAATTTTCTCGATCTATCACACATTTGAATTACAGAAAATCTTCAGTTACTGGACAAAGAGAGACAACTCAGAAAAAAAACTCTTATTCTGTTGATTAAATAATTACCTCCCCTAAAACAAAAATACCAAATCATACCAATCTTGTTAAAAGGCAACAATAGAGATGTTTTTTAATGTGGATAAGAATTTAAATTTAGTAATTATCTCTACTTAATTAATATTACTACTGCTTAGTTTCGGAAATGCAAGCTATGTTCTTAAAAATCTGCCGTAGGTCCTAGTAGATGATTTGAGGTTTTGAAAACAAAATATTTTTTTACAGATTTGACTTTCATTTAGCTAAAATAATTTTAAATTATAATTCATATTTAGAAAAAAGCTTTTATTTACATTAATTTGATTTTAACATATATTTAAATTAATTAGTCAAAAGCATAATTTAGTATTTGTACTCTACAACAAAACAATATTTATGTTTGAAGTCAAAGATTGCTTAAGTTTATTGAAAATGCTCATTTTTCTTCTACTGGAACATTGTTCAGTCAAGGAATCTTGAGTTGTGTAAATGTAAAATGTTCCCTTTCATAGCCCGACTACATAATTTCATTCATTTTTACAGCATTGAGTAAGACAAAATATTCCAATACCAAATAAATTTTCAAAGCTTGCATAACTTGCACTTTATTTTAAGGATTAAAAAAAAAATATATTAAGGAAAATTTTATTTGTAGAAAATGTCTCGTAAAATATTTATGTCAACTAAAATTATTTATGGTTTCCCTAAAGGACAAAGAAGATGGCCGCCACTTACTTGGCCGGCTATACATTGGTGTGAACTTTGACTCCGACGCCAGAGCCCAGTGGCTGGAGATGGTTAACAATGCCAGAAAACAGGTCGCATGCTGGCACAAACTTCAGAGTTGAATGTCCAACAAACTTTGTTGGGTCTGTTTCAAATGTTAATAAATGTGGGTTTTTTTTAAACAGCTGTTAACAGTAATTAACTAAAAATAAAGTAATTTAATCTACTTAATAAAGAAAATTTTGAATAAAAACCATTAACATCATTGTTAGCTGATCTAAATTTTTTGGAAGAAGTTTTATCTTTTACTAATTTCATAATTATCAAAATTCTAGATTTAATGTTCAGTTTAAAAATGGAAATGAAATCACAAACTTCAATATGAAACACAAGAAATAAAATCTTTCAAAGAAAGGAAACTGTTGTGAATTGTTTTGAAAAATGTAAATGTTTAATATTGTCTTCTTTTTATACAACATTTCAGACACTGTTATTCAGTAAATCTTGATAATGTGTAAGAAATGTTAATGTTATTGTTATGTTAGGCCTGAATACAAGTTGTAAATATAATCTGAATTGATTTAACCTGATAATTTTATATACTTAACTTGGTGGTTATAAAGCTGTGGTTGTGCTAGCTTTACTTTGTAAATATAGATCTAGAATAGAAATTGGGTTTCAAACCAATAATTATGGGTAATAGACTTTGTTCCATTGTTTATCATGTTCAAATGGCCAGTGCTTGATGAAAAAAAAATCTTTTTTTTTGGCTTTAAAAAAACATAAATTGTATTGTTTTTTTTCATAATTTTTACTGAAATATACATTAAAAAAAAAAACTTTAATTAGGAATAATTATACAGATTAATTTATACAAGTCAAAAGCGAAAGAAATAAAAGTAATTTTATTGATATTGTAGTTTTTTTAAAATTATCTCTTTAGTTGATGAATTATATATGTCATTTAAAAAGCAAATTTTATACACCCACCATATAAGTCTTAAACCAAATGCATGCTTATAGTTTAGCTGCTACACCCACTTCAATAAGAACCACATTATGAAGGATATATAATTTTAGGTTTAATTCATTCAAATTTTAAAATTCCATTGTTTATAGTTTTTGTATTTAAATTTTATGCTTTTCATTCAATCCGGATTTAGTTGATTAAAAGACTTATCTCTTCTTTTTAGCTAACAGTGAATTTCAACCTAATTTTAACATGTAAAAGGCTAATTCATTTATTGTATTAATGCTAATGTCTACATTTTCTTCATAATCCTTGAACAGAGTAATGGCTTCACAGCCAACTATTATGCAAATAGATTTAGATTTTTCATAATTGAGTAAACTTGAAATATTTTAAAATATAATTTCTCCCAATCCATAAAACTCAAGCAGTCTGTTGCATTCTACTTGTTGATAATTCAAGATCACTAAAGCATTTTAAAAAGCCATAACTAAATTATTTAGAGTGAGTTAATGTATTATCATTTCTGTTAAATTCTTTGTTACATTGGTGTATGTAGCCTAATTAATGAAAAGATATACAAAAATCAATGAGTCGTTATACTTTCCTGCATGCTCTGAAACTCTCAACTAAATAATTTAACTGCTGAACTGTGAAAAATTAAATTTTATGATTTCAAAATATTTTGTCTTGTTGGGAATATTAAGGACTCAAAAAAAAAAACTAGTTAAGTTGAAAAAAATCCATGCTGAATTATAGAATATTATTTAAAGATTGTTATTGCTTTTAAATCACAATACATTGTTCATTAAAAAATAATTAATTTCTAAATAATGAACTCTTTAAAAATAAATAAAATCATTTTCTCCTGGTAATAAATATATCAAAGATGAAGTGAAAATTGTAAACAAGCAAGGTTAGGCGATTCATGAACAGAAAATCTTACTATTCTCATTTCTTTGTATAACTAGGTACCAGCAACAGTAAAAAAAAAACTGTTATGTAAATAAACATAAAGCTTGCCTATAAATTTATGTGAAAAACATAAAGCTCGGGAATCGGTTCTGTGATATCTTTGTAAAATAAAAAAATTTCTTTTCCTCTTCCGTACACATTATCACATATGGTACCTGTTAAGCACTTATAAATCTCACTTAATTCATATTTTGATTACAATTTTTTTAATCTAATCATTTTTAATTTGTCAAACTTTCATATTGGCAATTTTAAAAATTAACCTGTTTGTTCATGCATATGTTATCACTGTTGATCATGCAAAATGTTAGCTAGTTCACCAGGTAAATTTGGATGGTTGGATCCAAAAATAAAGTTGAAATGGATCTTAAATGTTGAATTGATAATGTATAAAAGTTGAAATGCAGCTAATGTGTTCATAAAATTTCACTTGTTTTTTTTTTAAAGAAAAGTTGTAATTAATTGGGCATTTTTTTTTGGAAAAAATTTAATTATATCTTATTATGTTGTGTTTAATGTGCATTAAATAATAATTCAATTTTTTCACTTAATGTCACTATACTAAACTAGTTGCATTAGAATCTAAAGTTTTTTTCTATGATTAATTAATTTTATTGTTAATTATCTTTTTTATATAGGGCTAGTTACATTTAAATAGCTCTACAACTAATGTATTTGTTAATTTGGTTAAGGTATTTGAATAATTATTTAATTAAATAACTTGTCATTAGTGTTAGTATGAGTTCAATGTGTTCAACTTCATAATAAAGTGTAACAAAACATGTGTATTGAAGAGAAATTACCCATAAAAACTTTTTCACATTTTAATGATCAACAAGTCAGGTACAATTGAATGTTCAGCACATACTTCACTGCAGCATTATATTTAATCAGAATTTTAGGGTAGGAGCAGAGAACTGTAATGTGGAACTGGAGGTATAACAACTGGTTACTTCCCTTCATTTAGCTGACACAAAAAGTCAGTTTTACAGTGTTGGGATTCGCTTTGGTTAGAATATATATATATATATATATATATATATATATATATATATATATATATATATATATATATATATATATATATATATACATTACTAATTATTTAATTTATAAAGTAAAGCCACTTAGGTGAGTGGGTAGCTTGTTTTGATAAAAAAAAGTAACTTTTCAGTGCATGTTAGGGAATTTGTGATCAAATATTTTAATTGATATTATGACAAGTCCACAGACAAAATCTGAAAACTAATTTTTCTCATCGAAGCAAAATGTTTATTAATGCTGAAATTGTACTTTTTTTTGTAAACTAACCAACATTGCAATAACCAGTGTTATTTTCTTGCACACTTAGGTGCGTGGGTAGCTTGTTTTGATAAAAAAAAGTAACTTTTCAGTGCATGTTAGGGAATTTGTGATCAAATATTTTAATTGATATTATGACAAGTCCACAGACAAAATCTGAAAACTAATTTTTCTCATCGAAGCAAAATGTTTATTAATGCTGAAATTGTACTTTTTTTTGTAAACTAACCAACATTGCAATAACCAGTGTTATTTTCTTGCACACTTAGCTCATGTATTTACTGTCATTAACATTTTAAGATATGATATGTTTAGAACTGGTAAAATGGGATGTAGAGATGCATATTAAAACTATGTAAACAAGAAAAGAGTTTTGGTTTTATTTGCATAAGCTAGTGTTAGATTTTTTTTTTTTTTTTTTTTTTTTTTTTTTTTTTTTTTTAACTATATCTACATTACTTCCCTTTATAAGAAAAATAAATATGGACACCACTCCAACAACAAAAATTCATACCTACCTACACAGCTGTGTATATTCTCCTACCTATATATATAAATAAATAAATTAAAAAAAAAAAAATAAATATATATATATATATATATATATATATATATATATATATATATATATATATATATATATATATATATATATATATATATATATATATATATATAGGCCTATATATATATATACAGGCTTAAAACCAATATTTGGGGGGAAAATACAATTGTTCTATATCTCTGGGCAGATGGCTTTGAAATATATTTTTGATTAATTCGAGTGCTAAATAGTCATTTAAGAGGTGCAAATTGAAAGTTTGAGGTGGGGGGAGGGTGCAAATCGAAAGTTTGAGGGGGGGGGGGGATGTGAATCGAAAGTTTGAGGGTGAGGTGCACATCGAAAATTGAAATTTTGTCCCCGAGAAAGGTCGCTACGCCTCTGGGGGGTGACACCATTAAGTGCCGCACCGGGTGACACCCGACCTCGCTACGCCACTGGTAGAGGGTTGGGGGTGTGATCTACAAGGAATGGGAGAAGTGACCGGAATTATTGTAGCGAAAATTTTGAAGAGAAGCTAGGGGAGGTTTGATTGTTATGGTTAGAGGTTACAGCCGAAAATATTAGCGAAGCGTTGCCTTTGTTTGTTATTTTTTTTTGTGTTCCTCAGACATGTAATTTACAGCGCCAGTTTGCCTTTAGTATTGCAGTTTTCGTCATCGGCTTGTGAGTACTGAAACAGATTTACAAAAGTAATATTTATTTCTGACATGTACTTTCATTCATTTAAGATGGTTTAATTATACAATTTTATTTTTAAACCTGAAAAATGCAAATGTGTAACTAAACGGCGAATGAACGAGCTGTAAAAAGAAAAAAAAATATGACATCAAGCCTCATCTCTATATTCCTTATATAAACCCAGACAATAACACGCCCTCTCATCTCTTTCAACTAACCCACCCCATAACAAACGATGATGGAAGGCTCTTGCCTCCCTAGCAGCACCCCCCCCCCCCCCCCCCCCACTACAGTAGCTTCACACAACCAAGTCAAAACACACGTACCACTGCCCCCGACCGGTCCACAGCGACCTCCCCCCTCCTCCATAACACTTTCGTCCCGTTGGTCGCACAACTTCGTTCATATGACCCCCCCCCCCCCCCACTCTTTTTTTTTAAACTGACCCCTTTTTTTTCCTTTCCCTTGCTTCAATTCAGGTTACAAACTCCCCGTTTTGCAAATAATTCTGTAAATGTTAGATCTAGATGTCTTATACAATGATGTGTAACCTTTATGTAAATTTTATGTAAATTGGTTTGCTGTAAAACCTTTATGTGAGTTACTACAGACATATGCACTCAAACATGTTGATGCTTCTTATTTTAATTGCAAATGCACATTTTTTTTTTCAAAATATTAAAATGAAAATAATTTACGAATAACAGATGATAAAATTAAAGTGCCCTGTTATTTTATTTTATTAGTACAAAGTCTGAATTAAAACTGATTAAGATTTTTACGGAATAACTAAAATTGTCAGATAATATTTTCTAAACAATTGACTAACACACTTATTTTTAAATAACAATCAAAATGAAATAATACTTTTTAGAAAGTAGTTTTCTTTTTTTTTAATACTAATGAATTTCTGTGTATTTAAACTTCGATTGAACCAACAGATAATGGTTTTTAATCTTTGCAATTTTGAATGTTAAATGGGAAGTAAGCAGGACAGTTCATTTTTTATTTTAAGCAACTGTAAGTAATTTTTTACTTCGCAATTTTTCTAAACAATGATATTCTATTTAAATTAAATTTATTTGGTCATCTTTATTTGGTCATCATCAAGTGGTTAGTGTGGATTTTATTTCAGACTACCGCCGTAACGAATCCATTTAACTTATCAATATAATGTTACTTGCTTTTGCATAGCTTTCTTTATAAATGTGTGCTGAACTCATAAGGAAAGCCTACTGATTTGTGCATAAAGTTGTTTTACATATGAAAGCTATACGTACATGATATTGATACTATCTGTTGCATAGTTTTGTTTGACATATTTATACTTAAATGTTGAAATTTTCATTCAGTAATTGACGACGAATTTCAGTAACCTACTGGTTATTATGTAGCAGCTTTTATTTTTATAACAGCGATTTCTTTGTAAAATGTTTCTGACCTTTGTTACCGTATTATTACGGATATTGTTATATTTTAATTACAATGTATACATACGTCTGGGAAAAAACACGAAATAACCGCTTAGTTACTGGTTTAAAAAGAAAACATTATCTGAGAAACTGTGAGGTCACATTTTCTGTATACGCTACCTAATCCCACTCAATAAGTCCAACCCTCCCCCCCCCACCCCTTAGCCGTGTAACGTGATTTTAGGGGCGTCCACTTAAGTACAGTTTACAATTTTATATAAACAAAAATCATCCACCTTTTTTGTACTTGTTTTTTTCTACCTGGTTTATACATTTTGTAATTTTTATACAAATATTCTGTATTAATATTTTTTCTAGATCTAACATTTAAAGCAAGCTGTATTTGGAAAAAAAATTTCAGTTATAGCTGTAGGGACCAGAAACAGTCGCGATTACAGAAAAACCGCAAAGTAGTGTTACCCTCTCATATATGTTTTTTTGGTACAATATCAAAAAGTATCAATGAAACCACAAATCTAGCAAATACATGCCCCATACATTAACATTACGTGTAACAAATCCACCCTTTCACAATTAGCCCCTAATAAATACACCCCACATAAACCGACATCTACCGCTTTACACCAATTTATCTACCGCTACAAGCAGTCGCTACAAACCCTGCCCTCACATCACACTTTCAGCCATTACACACACACGCAGTTTACAATCACACACCCAGTTTAGAATCACACACGCTGTTTACAATCACACACGCAGTTTAGAAACACACACACAGTTTATAATCACACACACAGTTTACAATCATACACACTGTTTACAATCACACACCCACACAATTTACAATCACACCCACTCAGTTTACAATCACACACCCACACAATTTACAATCACACCCACACAGTTCACAATCACATACCACACAGTTCACAATCACACACCCACACAGTTCACAATCACACACCCACAGTTTACAATCACATACACACACACAGTTTACAATCACACACACAGTTTACAATCACACACACAGTTTAGAATCACACACACTGTTTACAATTACACACACAGTTTACAATCATACACACACAGTTTACAATCACACACACTGTTTACAATCACACACACAATGTTTACAATCCCACACACAGTTCACAATCACATACCCACACAGTTTACAATCACACACCCACACAGTTCACAATCACACACCCACACAATTTACAATCACACCCACACAGTTCACAATCACATACCACACAGTTCACTATCACACTCATACAGTTCACAATCACACACCCACACAGTTCACAATCACACACCCACACAGTTCACAATCACACACCCACACAGTTCACAATCACACACACACAGGGTTTACAATCACACACACACAGGGTTTACAATCACACACACAGTTCACAATCACACACACTTTACAATCATACACCCACACCGTTTACAATCACACCCGCGCCATCAGCTACCCCCCCCTCCCCACCAAGGCTAGCGATTGTACGTGATGTGGGCCTACACACCTGCCACATGTGGTACCTTATCTAACACAGCGTGACCACAGCATCAATGGTGTACAAGAACAATACACTCCATTGTTCTTTTCTGTTTGTTTTTTTGTTACAAAACGTTACACTAGTCTTCTTCATCTTTGTTAAGTATTACGTGTCAACTTAATTATTGCGCCATATAGCCGTTGACTCCGGTTTTAGCTTGCTTTCAAAACGGAGTCTGATTGAGAGTTGTTTCTGCATATCTTTGCTTCACTTCGACCCCAATAAAAATAAATCATAATTAAATCATATATTATACATTTTATTTCACCTTTTTCGAATAAAATCTTTAAGAATAAAACGGGAGTAATCTCCCCTAAACTTTCTCGAATATTCTTATTAAATACTACAGGAGATCCAACTCGGGATTTAGACATGCTTTTTAATAAAAAAAAATTTATTATAGTACTTTATAAATGCTTTTTTTTTTGAGAAATCGGAATAACGTAAAGCACTGCTTCCAGTTACCGGAAATTACTTAAAATTTGACAGAAAGAAGAAAATTGGCTCTTTTACTTATGTTCAAATTTTGTCTATCTATCTCAAAAAGTACTCAAGTAAAAGGCTTTTAAAAAAACAAAAGTAAAATAAGTCCAACTTCCGCTTCGCGGAAATCGCCGAAAATTTGCTACAGAACAACAAATTATAATATCATATATGAAATTTCATCAACCTAGCTTTAACAGTACTGAAGTTATCTTGATCACAGACACACAAACACACACCACACACGATTTCTACACGATTATAATACTTCTTTTATACTCCGTATAAAAACATAAAGATTTATTATAATTCTTTCCCTTGACCGAAAAATAAAAACGTTATCGCCCTTGTATGATTACTTTGATCAATGTATCTATTGTCCCGTACGCCATTATTGTCTCCGCGATCGACTAAACACACGACTACTCGTGTTTGTGTTGTAGTAGCTGTCGTGGTTTGTCACCAATCGGTTGTTGATCTACCTGTGACACGTGACAGAGTAGGTAAGTCAATGTTGACATACTAGTAGCCGGATGAGGGGGCAGGCGATTTTGTTTCCTCGTCCCACAGGGAACTCTGCATCTGTGTTTACCTACTGATTGGATTACGTACCTGTAACCTATAGTCACT